CCAGGTGGCAGGAAAGCTCACTGGAGGGTGAGCACCACTGGGTCTCCCATAGACCACTGGCAACCATGGGCTGTAGGAGCAGGAAGAACCGACTGGAATCAGGAAGCTACTGAATCAGGAAGCCCCTTATGCTTCCACTTTTTGTATTTCTCCAGTCCTCTCTAAGGACAAAGCCTGGCAAAAGGGGAATGTTTACAGAATTCAGCTTCAGTATCACAGGGCAAGGCAAAGAAGGGTGGCTTTAGAGCTGACAGGCAATAAGTTGGCACAACTGGATTCAGAACCTTTCTTTGAAAAACTGATGGGACAGAGGAGCCTGGGTGATTCAGTGGTTGAGCATCCAACTTTGGCTCAGGTCACGATCTCATGGTCTGTGAGTTTGAACCCCATGTCGGGCTCTGTGCTGGACAGCTGGGAGCCTGGCGCCTGCTTTTGATTCTGTGTCTCCCTCTCTCTCTGCCCCTCCCCTGCTCAAGCTCTGTCTCTCAAAAGTAAACATTAAGAAAAACTGATGGGACATGCTGTTTAACCTTTGAGTCTGTATAATGCATCACACGCCATGTTAATAGTAACATGTGGAATACCTCATTCAATTGTCTTAACTCCATTAGGGGGTTAAGTTACTCAAGTTCACACAGCAAGTAAATGGGGGAGACAGGATTTAAACCCAAGAGTTTCAAATTTAAATCCGACTTCCATACTGCATTAAACTTACTCCTGGATTCTTTCACTCCAGACTTTATAAACGCAACATAAACGTTCATGGAGAGTTATACAATCTTCTCTATGAAATGACCTATGTATTTTTGATCAAGCTAGGGGCTCTGTCACTATCCTGGTATTGTAGGGTTCTTCTCCTTCGAATCCTTGGTTCTCAGTTACTGTTACTTTCCTTTTCTATGCTCTGCCTGGGTTGTGATACCTTATTCTAGAAAAGTAGCTGGCATATAAATCACAGAATCTTCAGCTTCTCTTCCTGTGATTGCTCAACATTGAGACATTTTGCCCCTTGAGATTCTATAGCACTGGCTACCACTCAGAGCTATGCAGTAGATATGGTAGAATAGCCATAGTTGGAATGCTTTTCATTTCAGGTAATAGAAAACCCAACTCAAATTACACTCAACAACACAGGGAATTTACTGATTTACATGATTTTATTGGTTCAGGCAAGCCTTGATCAGCACTCCCAACTCTGTTTCTTTTCTCTTTTTTCTGCTTTTCCCCGTTCCATGCGTTGGCTTCATCTTTAGGCTGGCTCTTTTCATGGTCACAGAATAGTTGCCAGATGCAAATGGTTCCTTACTGACATCCAGGGAAGCAGTGATGATTTTATTCAGTTATTGTGATGGGGCAAATATTAGATACTGATAGCTGTAGGCCTGCGTAATATCACTATTCTTGAAGCAATCAGTACAAGGTAGATGGGATTACTCCAATTGACTTAGCACAGCCAGCATCCACACTCACATGTGGGAAATGGGGTCCATCCCACCCAAGTTGCCTCAATGTTGTACAGTGAGGAGTGGGATGCACTGGATGTTAGAAGGTGCATCTGTCAGGATAGGTTAGATTTTGCTGTGGTGATAAATAAGCCCCAATCTTTTTATAGCAGCAGGTGTCTTTCTTGCTCCTACTACACGTGCATTGTGAGTCCCCTGGGGGGCATTATTTACTGTTTTCTCCTTTCAGGACACAGGCTGATGGAGCTATCACCATCTCAAGAACTGTCTATTGTTGTTTTGGAGGGAAAGAGAGTATACAAAATTGCCTACTAGCTCTTAAAGTTCAGACCCAGGAGTACATCTACTTACATATTATTGACCAAATCATGTGCCTGGGAAACAAACCAGAAATGTTTGGTGGCTAGCATTAATGTCAACTACCACAAGAGGCCATCAGAACACCCATAACAGAGGGCTTATGGAGTCCATCCCAGTTTTTGCCCACTTTTTATTGGGAAAATAAATAACTTTCTGTTTTGATTGCTACGTAAAAAGAGGCCTTCACACTCAGCAGAAATCAGGAACTCAATACTCATTTTCTGTGTGACTATCCAATGTCTTCCAGGTGTTTTGCCCTTAAGTGGAATCAATGCTTCTGCGAGGGACTTCTATTACGGTATCTCCTCAACTCAAAACAGTTCCCCTTTTCACAGTCTTGATCCACAGAGGTGAATTCCTGATGAACTACATGACCTGTAAGCTGGTCATGATTGTTCTGGGGGAGGGGGACACCTGGCTCAAGTTGAGTCAGAGCTCTTCTCTGAGGTTTTGGGATTGGAATGATTAGGAATTTTTAGTTTCTGTGTCCCTGGTAGATATATTTCCCATTGTATTTCCCGGAAGCACAGAATCAAGTTTATAGGGAGTCTTGCAACACCTGCTCTGCTTCCAATCCATCCACAAGTCCATCTGTGTTCTTGTTGGCCTGAGAATGCCGTCCCTTTGACCTTAAACCCTAAGATAAATCCTTCTTATTTTTCTTAAACTGGCTAAGGGGTTACTGGTACTTGCAGCCAGCAAACTCCTAACTGATGCATATTCTTTGCCTCTGGACCCTGACACCAAAAAAAGGCACAGGTGTAGCCCATTCCCGTAAAATAGAGGTCAGGTGGCAATTCTATTTCATCCATTATACTTCTGGCAGGTTTTTTTTTTTTTTTTTTTCTGCTGGAGAAAGCTCATCAGAATGTGAGTGAGTTCAGGTGACATTATTATAGGGCTCGCCTGGAATCTGCTTAAAATTTTTTTAAAGGAAAATAATTTGTCTCTTTGGGTGAATACTATTTGCGACCCACTTCCCAACACTGGTATTGACTGCATGCTGTTTCCTCTGCCTGGAGTCCTCTCCTCATCAAGTCTTTAGACCCAGCTCCAGCGTCACCTCCTGTGGGGAGACTTTCTACACTCTCCTATATTGTATCAATTATGTCCTTCTCTCTGCTTCTCCACCAAAGCAGGTGGCACATACATCTAGGATTACATATTTTCCTCCAGAAATACTTCTTTGCATGTCTGTCTCATTTGAGATTCTGAATTCCTCAGTGGTTGGGAGAATGCCTTGTTTACCTCCACATTCCACAGTGCCTGGATTGGAATAGGTGCTCAGAAAGGTTTGTTGAGTAAATGAAGTTAAATTAGAGCAACATATCCCATATCTACTTTTATTCAAGAAATACACAGTGCCCACCCAACCAAGCCAGGCCGTGCTCCAGACACTGTAGATGAGCAACACAAATCCTTGCCCTCAGAACATTACAGATGATACTCAGGTCACACGGGCTGTAAGGAAAAGTAAAGCAGGGTCAGGGGAGAAGAAAAGGATGGGGGGTGGTGGTGGGACTTGATATTTTAGTAGAGTGGTGTAGATAAGTCTCTCTGAGGAGCTGACTTTTGAATAATTTGAAATTTGGAGTAAGGGTACATGCCTTTCTGGTATCTGGGAGGTAAGAAACACTATGTGTGAAGTCCTTGAGGTAGGAGTGAGCCTGTATGTTCCAGAAGAAGCAAAGAGGCTAGTGTGGCTGGAATGGAGTGAGGGGGCAGAGTGCAAGGGGATGCAGTTAGAGAAGGGGAGGAGTGTTAGGTGTGTGTGTGGAGGGGCACACTTAGGTTCTTGGAAGGCCTTGGCGAAAAGATTTTGATTTTTGCTTCCAGTGGGACGGGAAGCCATTGGAGGCTTTATGTTTTGACTTAGGTTTTAACAGAATCTCTCTGGCTGGCTCTTGAGAAGAAGCTGAGAGCAGAGTGGAATTGGGGAGAGCAGATAGGAGATTATTGCAATATTTTAGGTAAAAGAAGAGGAGGGCTCAAATGGGGGTTATTTCAAAGGTATTTGCTACTGGATTACAGGTGGGATGTGATGACAGGAAAAGAGGAGTCCAGGATGACTTCAGGGTTTGGCCACAGTCAGCAGAAGGATGGAATTGACCTTTGCTGAGGTGGGGGCGGACACTGAAAGGGGCAATTTGAGCGGCAGGTTCCAGAGTCTAGCTTTGAATATGTCAAGCACAATATTTACCTATAGATATGCTCACTGTTTTTCAGAATCTGAAGGTTAAAATACAACCTGAAGTTAAAGTCAGCTTTATTTATTGAACATCAGGCACTGTGCAGAAAGCCTCATGTGTGCCGTCATTTAAATCTTCCAGTCATCTCTACTGGCTTAATTACTAATATTTTCATTGCTCTTTTATGGATTAAAGATGAAATACCATGCCCAAAGTCACTCAGCCACTCATTAATCTGCCAGTATAATGCAGATCTGGGATTCCAACCTAGGTGTGGTCAGACTGCAGAGCTCTTGCTAGATTCTAAAGGTGGGGATCACTTTCTGAGCATATCTGCCATAGCTCTGGGCTCCATAACAAAGCAGGTAGTTGGGCGGTGTGATGAAAAATCAGAAGAGGGTCCAACCCCATCCTAGGTGTTACATGTTACCCAGTAGAAGCTGTAAACAAAGGCAAGCATTACTGTACCTGAGGGGGCTGGTGCTTGCAAGTTCTCAAGTACCTTAAGATTTAATGTTAAAAAGCAATCAGAAGTTGTCGTTTAGAAATAGAAGAGATTAAAAATTGCAGTGGAGCATTGATGGGATGAAAGAAAAACCAACTCCCAGGCGATGCTTGTTGGAAAACACCAGGATCCTGCCTACATCCTTTCGAAAGGGTAGCCTTGTGTGACCTTCCTTAGGTGGTCCTCTAGAAAGATCAGGATATAGAGTACAAAAGCCGGGAACCTCTGGGGTCGCAGCATCCGCTCCCCTGTGCCCTCCTTCTCCGCCCCCTTCAGTCTCCACGCGGGGAGAAGCGGGACGACGCCTGCGCATGCGTCCGGGGCAAGGTCCGCTCCCCGCGACGTCAGGGGGCTCGCGCCCGCACTAAAGCCCCGCCCCCCGGGCGCAGGAGGCGACCTGGGCGGGGGGCCTCGGGCCCCGCCCCCAACCGAGCCGAGCGGGGCCGAGCCGAGCCGAGCACCTCCGAGCGCGGCCGAGCCGAGCCGAGCGGCCCGGAGTCGGTTGGTGCAGCTGCGTCCCCGCCGCCCAGCAGTCCGAGGCTCCGGCGTCGCCGCCGCCTCCGCGGGGCCTGCGCCGGCCGCCCGCCCGCCCGCCGGGAGGGAGGCCCGGAGAGCGGGGAGAGCGGCCCGGCCGCGGGCGCCGCCGCCACCGCCGCCGCTGCCAGGTGAGCGCCCGCCGCGGCCCGCCGGCCCCGTGTGCCCCCGCGACTGTCAGTCTCCGTGTCTGTGTGTCTCTCTGCCTGTCAGCTCCCCCGCGGCTGCGCGAGCTCCCTCCCGCCACGCCTGACCCCCGGCCCTGCCCGCGGCGGCCGCCAGCCCCTCCCGCCCGCTGCCCCGGGTCTTTCTGTCAGCCGCCAGCACCCCCATGCGCGCAGGCTCCGCCCCTTCCCCCCGAAGCCCCGCCTTCGCCCCATCTGTCAGCACCCCCCAACCCAGCCCCCGGCCCCGGCGTCCTGGGGCTCGGTTGTAGCCCCCGCGCGCCGTAGCGGCGACAGGAGGAACAGGGGGTGCGGAGGGAAGGGCGGGCGCCCGCAGACGCCCGCCTGACCCTGCGAGGGTGCGTGTCCGAGCGCGCGGGTGCGGGACCGCGTGGGCTCCCGGGAGCCGGCAGGGGCACTCGGGGGGCGGCCTGACGTGCGCGGGGCGGAGATGCCGGGCGGCCCCGAGCCTGTCGCTCCGACTCCCGCGGGCCCCTGCCCCCGGTGTAAAGAGCCTCCGCTCCGCCCAGGAGGCAGCTGAGCCGGGACTCCAGCCGCTTGGGGTACAGTAGAGCCCTGAACCCCGGGACCGTCGTTCGGGCCCCGGCTCCCCGGACGCCGGGAGCCGCGTGTGAGCGGAGTTTGGGGCTCGCTCAACCTTCCCAGTTTGGGATTTCCATTCAGAGAAGCCTGTCGGAAGTGACTGAGGAGTGGGTGGGATGTGGAGCTTGGGTGGGAAGTGTTTGAGAGCTTGAGTCACTTTGAGTTGCGCGGTAGGCATTTCTGAGCAGTGATTGCCTTGGGCTCGTGCCCTGTGAGAAACTGTTATGTGATGGGGGAGGGGGAGGGAGGGCATACTCCTTTCTGTTTTCATCTGTGTCATGTGAACACGTAGTATTTATTCGTGAGACTCCACACAACCTCAGTTAAAAAAAAAAAGATTACAGTAGTTTCCATTTATACGTGCTCTTGTACGTTGTGATGTTGACGTTTGTTATTTGTAGTAAACTTTGCATTGCAGTATTTCAAAACCGAAGAGAAAACGCGTCCTCCAACAATTGGTGTTTGGCCGGATAGTTCTCAACCACGGGGAAAGAGCCAAAAGCGCACTTCATTAGCTGGAACAACTTATTCGGGCTTAATTTGCTTCTAAGAGACATACAGTGGAAAAATCCAGAAGCAGCACAGTAGTATCAAAGACTCTTAGGAAATTAATGAAAGGGCCCTTCTATTGCTGCCTTGGAAAGATGGTATCAAAGTTGCTGTAGAGGACAGAGCTAACATGTAATGATAAACATATTAACCAAGTTGGTTTTTGTGACCTTGATACACTGAGCAGCGTTTGATTTGCACAGTGCTTCGTTAACAGGTAAACATTGCAAGGGGAGTGGGGTAACTTTTGGAGAAAATGTTCCCCATGTTTTGTTTTGTTTTCATATTTAAGTAAGCTTTCAGGCCAGGGTAGGCTCACTGTAGGAGTGTGTGTGTGTGTGTGTGTGTGTGTGTGTGTGTTTTAAGATAATATTAAAACTTACAAATGTAGGAGCACCCGGGTGGCTCAGTTGGTTGAGCTTCCAACTGTCGATTTTGGCTTAGGGTCATGATCCCCAGGGTGATGGGATCAAGCCCTGCCTCGTACTCCTTGGAGCCTGCTTGAGATTCTCTCTCTCTCTCTCTCTCTCTCTCTCTCTCTCTCTCTCTCTGTCTCTCTCTCTGTCTCTCTCTCTCCCTCCCCTCCCCTTTCACCCACTCACACTTTTTTCCTACTTAGAGATTATGTAAAGTCTTATACATAGATTACTTATGTATGCACACTCCTACATGAAGGCATGAGAGGAGAATGGATGTAGGGATTCTTTGCTTAATCTGATTTGCAACTTTAAACTCTTCCTTTAACAGCCGGAGGTATTGTCTCCTCCTATAGCTATATATTTAATCTATCCATTACTCACAAAACTTTTGTATGCGTAAGAGCTTGTATTCCCTTTGTGATACTTAAAAAAAGGAAATTGGAACCTCTGCAATGAGCACTCCAATAACTTATCATCTTAAAGTAAAATCTGAAGTCCTTGTCATGGCTGAGTAGGCTACCTTCCTGTCCTCACGTCCAGTTTTGTGAAACAACTTAAAAACTTCCAGCATATACTAGCCTCAGTGCCTTTGCATTTGCTATTCTCTCTCTCTAGAACTCTGTTCCCTGGTTATCATGGGTCTCGCCTCAGGTCTCTGCTCAGACATAACCTTATCAGGCTTTCCCTGACCCCTCTGTATAAAGTACACCCACTTCCCTGTCCTCCTTAACTCCCCTTGCTTTTCTTCGTAGCATTTACTACCACTTGGTAAGTACATATTAAAATGTTGATTTATGTCTCTTTCCCTGCCATTAACCCAGAAGTGTAAGACTTTTCGACTGATAAATCCTCAGGGCTCAGAACAGCACCTGACACATTATAGGTGCTTAATATTTGGTCAATGAATGAGTGAATGAATGTTCATTATACATCCATCCCTGTAACCTTCCTGTAGCCTCCTACCTTTTAGGTAGGTCTCATGAATTGGGGGACCAACCCCTTAGAAGTCAGGATAAGTCCTCTCCTTTACGTATCTGAGAAGAAGAATTTTACAGTGAGGCTTATAATCTCAGAAAGAATTATAGTCTTGATTTAACTTGAACAGTTGAGGGAAGAAACATTTTTGGCAGATGTTACTGGCTTTCTTTTTTATGCATTATCCCTTGTGTCACGTTGGAAATCTTTGAAAAGTAAAGTATCCCCCTTATGTTTACAGCTGTGATTTCAATTTGATAGTTCTTAGTGATAGGATAAGCCTCAAGAGCATAGTGAGTTTTTTTGTGTCAACAGATACCCAGAGATATAATTACGGCTTTAATGTGTTTTCATTTGAGGAGTAGCTGTTATATTTACTTATTTTCTTGGCAACTCTATCCTTTTCAGCTCCTTGCTTATCAGGTTTTGGGTGGCCTCACAGGTACACTTAATTTTTTTTCAACATTTTAAAATAAATCCTTGATTTCTGGAGCATTTTACATCTCTCGTGTGACTCTTGAACTGTTTTAAAAGTACCAATTTCATCTTTCAGGATGAAATGATATCCGTAGTAAAACATATAATTGCATTTTCATTATAGGGATGGGAAAAACTGTATCATGGGGTAGAATTTTTACAGAAAGAATATAATGTGAGTGTAAGACTTTAAAGGCTTGAATTTCAAGTTAGAATACTTTTTTTTTAAAGCTTATTTATTTATTTTGAGAGAGAGAGCATGAGTGTGAGTGAGAAAGTGGGCGGGGGAGGGAGGGTGACAGAGAGGGAGAGAGGGAATCCCAAGCAGGCTCCGCACTGTCAGCACAGAGCCCCATGTGGGCTCATAATGCATGAACCTCGAGATCATGACCCAAGCCGAAACTGAGAGCCAGATGCTTAGCCGCCTGAGCCACCCAGGTGCCCCAGAGTACCTTTAATTTTAATGAGTTTGAAAAAATCCTTTTTGCTCATAAGGAAAAGGATTCCTTTGAACACAATCCAAATAGACCTTCGAAAATGTTTTTTCTTATGACTCAAATATGCAAGAACTTGGGAGGGAAATCCTAAATGAAAATTTTCTTTTAAATGCCTGAAGGCAATGTGTTAAGAATTTATTTTTATTTGTTCCATAGACATTTATTGAGCACATAGTTTGGGGGCAGTTCTGTGTATTTTTGCATGGACTACATGACCATGCTCAGTTTTAGATTTCCAACCTGATTTCTTATTATTTCTTCTCTTTTGTCACTTGGCTGCCTCCCTTCTGTCGTCATATTCTCTCCCTAAATGATCTTCTCTATTCCCAGGACTTTAATGCCCTTTGAATGCTGATGCCTCCCTCAGTTACACCTCCCTCCTGGACCTTTCTCTGGGTCTAGTCTTGGATTTTTACCCATCACCTTCCTGGTGTCTCTACTCGCTGCCTCACTGTGATCTCAATCTTTATATGTTCAAAACATCTCCCTCTCAGACTTTCAGATTTATATTCCTCTTTCTTGACTCCTGCCCCGACTCTCCGCCAGCATTCCCTGGCTTCTGCCCTGCCTATCTGAGTGTCCTTAATTGTACTCTTGTGGTTCAGGCCAAACACCTGAAAGTTGTCTTTAAAAAAAATTTTTTTTTATGTTTATTTTTTGAGAGAGAGAGAGAAAGAGAGCATCAACAGGGGAGGGTCAGAGAGAGAGGGAGATACAGAATCCGAAGCAGACTCCAGGCTCTGAGCTGTCAGCGCAGAGCCCAGTCTGGGGGCTCGAACTCACAAACAGTTCAGAGCTGGCTGTCAGCACAGACCCTGGCGCAGGGTTCAAACCCATGAACCGAGAGATCATGACCTGAGCTGAAGTCAGACGCTTAACCGACTGAGCCACCCAGGCGCCCTCTGAAAGTTGTCTTTCATTCTTCCCGATTCCTCATCCCGCATCCAACTCATCAGCACAGACTGTTGTCCTAGACACCAGAATATCTCAGATCCTCCCTTCTCTAAAATCTCCTAATCCAACTGCCATCCTCTTAGCTGGGTGACTGTCCCAGCCTGTACCTGGTCTCCCAGCTTCCACCCTTGCCTTCTTCTAACCCAGGTCCCCATTGCAGCCAGAGTCATATTACTAAAAAGCAATCCAGATTGCATCACCCCCTGCAGTGGGCACTTAGACCCAAACCCACACTTCTTAATCAGAGGTGCTTGACCTGTGTCTCTCTCTCCAGCCTCTGCCCCTTGCTCATCCATCCTTCTGTCAGGTTGGAACTGTCAGTTCCTCAAATGTGCCAGATCTCCTCCTTTTCTGTACAGGCCCTTCTCTCTGCCTGGCACCCTTCCCCCATGGAAAGATCCCTCTGAGACATTTGCTCTCAGCTAAAATGTCCCTCCTCAGAGGGGCCTTTCCAGATCGCCCCATTCCACGGTAGCTTCCTCCCCCCACCTGC